TTTGTGTATGTGCAAGAAAGCTTAACAGCCCTGCGTGCTGTTGTTCATGGTATGTGCTGTGCAGTACAAAACGTCAAAATGTGGTTAATCTGATAACGACTTGACTTGGGTTTCCAGACACCCACTGGCTGAAGAAAGAAGGCAAAGTCTGTCTAGGTTTCTCCACTATGATACTGCTAATTGCCACCACTGGGAGAGATACATCACTAGTATTTGCACTTGCAAACCTGCTGTTTATGAGACTCTGGTCTTTATCCCTCCTTGGGAAGGAAGAAAACATTCCTGAGCATTGTCTGAAGCATTTAGAGCTGCCTAATGATAGTGATAAACAACATGGTTAAGTACTGGTTTATCTTGTGTATGAGTAAAAGTTGGTATTTACTGCCCTTTATCTTATGTATTCACTGAAAATAAATGGTATGGTCATCTAAACGACTTGCACAACTTCATGGTTTCCCTGAAATATTTTATTATGCAAGTGAACTTAAGGGTTATTAGATTGTGTGTCAGGTTGCAAATATACACGAAGGCTTAGTGTGTGTGAGATCTGTGGGGTCATTGTTTTTTTTTCTGTTCTTTCCCTTTCCTCTTCAGTATGGGATGTTTTGCAGTGGACCTGAAGTAGCAGGAGGGGATTGTTGACTTCAGAGATACCAGAAACAGATTCAGAACTGATGAGCTCAAGAGTCAAACTTCAGAAAAAAAGCTGTGCATGCATAGTGTCCAACACACCTGGAAACTGGGCATTTGAGAGGAAAGAACTGAAGAGGCAATGTCATGTTGGGTTCCTGTCTATGTCTTAGGTCTTCCACAGACATGTTACAGTGATTAAGTATCTGGTAATAGGAAAAACAACTTCATGTAGCAGCATCAGAAGGGCACTGAAACTGCTTTTTACCACATTCCAAACAGTAGTGTTCATTGGTTCCAGGTTCAGGTTGGCAGTGTGTTGCCTCCTTAAGAGACAGTGTTTTCTGAATGCTTTTCAAACGGCACTGTAATTTTGCAAGTTAGATACTCTATTAACGTGCATGGACTTAGAAAGGCTGCACTGTCCCATTATTTGATCTACTGATTTAGCATTAGAAGAGATGTTGTCTTGACTACAACAAAACAAAAAAGAACAAATGCATGACTTAAGGGCATTGCTAAAGTATAGAAGTTTCCATTCTAACTACTCTATCTTCTGGTGCAAGAACTTTCCATGGTGTTATGATCATTTAAACCATATTCTGAAGTTCTCTCTCATTCTGTCTTTCATCTTATACTCTCCTGTTCCAGTAGGTAATTGTAGCTAGCATGTTACAGTCCATCCTGAACAGTCAGAAGTCACAGAACTGGTGTTCCGTCTTTTAGTGTAATAAGTTCTTCAGCTTCTGCTGTCCCTTACAATTCGTGGAGAGTTTTTCCTTTCAATGCAAATGGCATTGCCTTTTTTCAACACTATGCTTTTTCCTCTCTGGATCCGATTTGTTAGCAGTTTTATGCATCCTAAGACAGGGGGAGAGGAAAAACCTGTGTTCTGTAATGTTTGTGTATGCACGAGCAAAACTTCTAAGGCCAAATTTGTCATTTTAAGTATATTAGTCTTGGACATAAAAGTATAATCATAGAATGGTTTGGGTTGGAAGGGACCTTTAAAGATCCTCTACTTCTAACTCCAGAATCATGGTGTTACAACACTGGCCTATGGAGAAGAAAGTTACGTCTTACGGTCTAGGATTTTTAGCATGCTATGTGCTTAAATGCACATAGTTTTTAATATAAAACCCTCATCTCATGTATAACAGCCATGTGCTCTTCTACCCCCTACACATCCCCCATGCTCTTAAAACTATTTTCATTTTGGTTGTGGTTTCAATTTTGTCAGGGGTTACTGCCAGGATTTGGTAGGGATCTTACAAATGACCTGCCTTGCCTACACAAGGTGAGCAGGACTTCACGTGTGAAAGTTGTCTTAACTGTGTCTTGCTCTTTTTGTTGCTCATAGAAATTAGTTTGTTCCCCATTTTCCTTCCCAATAATACCTTGAATTGGTTAGCACCTTGGGTGTTGATTTAATCGTCTTGGCGCCATGGGGAGTTTCATGTGGTCTGAGCTGAATGCCAAACTGATGGTCTCTCTGTGTAACAGACATCAAAGTTTCTTCAGGCTGTGTAAACCAGGGTTTCAAGTGGGCTAAGCTCTGTTTGCTTGCTTTACTACCAGCTTCTCTGTAGCTAAAAGCTTGTTTAGAAACACTGTTAAAACCATTATGTTCTTTTCAAAATCAAGGCTAAGGTTTGGAGATGAGAAGCAAGGCAACTTAATATGGCACGAAAGAGACTCAGAGGATTTTCCCAGGCAGTCATCACCTCATTGAAGGAACAGATGCTTGAGGCCTTGTCTCTTCTTGCTCTGCCTGTCATGTGGCAGGCAGCTTGTCTGAGGGCACACCAGGGAATTCCTCTTTGTCCTGCTGGTTATGTAGCCCTTTAAGACCACAGAAATTAACATTTACCATGCGCCCCCAAGTGTCCTTGAAAGTTTTCTGGATAACCAAGTAGTGATGTTCTGAATGTCTCTGGATTTAAATGATTGAATTGGAAAGCAGATTACTAGAACTTTTGGTCTTACTACTCAAATCTTAATATACATAGTGGCTAAATGGCTTCAGCACTAAATAGCTCACTGTATAGCTGACCCTTCAGGAAGGGGACTGTATCCAGAAGAGTCTTTTAGGGTTGTAGTAATACAGGGTATTTCCCTAGACTAGAGAGTTTAACTTTTTTTACTAGCAGATAACCACTAAGGAGAGAGAGTTCATAAACATACATACTGGTACCAGCTGGAATTCTGTGCTCAGCCAACATCCTACAGGTTTTCTGGTAAGGGTTAGGAAGCATATTCTTGTAAATTCTTTAACTTGTAAAGTGATTGATAGTTATTTTCTACTTGCTGTGGTATTTAAGCCAGAAGTACAAGTAACTTAGACAGTACAAAACTGAAGATTATGAGCATATGTTTCCTTGAAGCGGGTAGAAAGGGATTAGATTATGATTAGGGATTTATTGTTGAGAGGGATTAAGCAACAGGTGTTTTTTGAGGTCACATCTTTGAATTGCAGCTTGCTATTCCAGAGAATTTGGTATCTGAACTTCCCCTTCCTACACTGGAAGCACTGCTTGGGAAATCTTTAGTTTTTAGGCACAGGAAGAAAACCTTAAGCATAATTCCATACTCCATTATGGATCCTGAATGATACAGCTGGGAAAAGGAGCTCTTGGAAAACCTTTCTTGCTTGTTCTTTCATACTGTGTTTAGAGGACTTTTTTAAACAAAAATGAAGTCCTACTTTAAAGGGCATTGCTTTAAAAATACAGCTTGAAACTGACAGGGCACTAAGCAGTCAACTTGTGGTTCAGTTCTATGGTTCCATGACTTGGAAACTGCCTTCAGTCATCTTTCTGTAGGAAGGTTCTCTGTCATCTGGGAGAGAGCATGAGAAAGAAACTACTCTATAAAGGATAAAAGATTCTTAATACCTTCATGGAATCATAGAATTGCTTAGTTTGGAAAAGACATCTAAGATGCTCAAGTTCAGCCATTAACCTAGCATTGCCAGGGCTACCACTAACCCGAAGGGGGTTGGTTAGTCATTTCATGTCTCACTAAAAAAGCAGTGCAAAATTTTCTGATCTATTTGACTAAAACTAGCTGCAGCAACTTATTTTATTCGCACTTCTGTGTTGTCTGTAACCTTGTTTCACCTGACACTTATCCCAGAGTTTAAATACACATAATTAAGTGGCTGGGAACTGCTGAAGGTCAAAGCTTTGCAGCGAGTTACTCTATTCTTCTACTGCTTCTTACCTCATTTCTTCAGACATGTGTCTCTGCACTGGTCACCAGTGCCGCAGCTGTAGTAGGCTCTCCTGGTCTCTCAGCTCTGGCTTCCTGTGACATGGCATTTACAAAATATTGTGAAATTGTTATGAAATCTCATCTGCCTGTAGCTTACCTGTTGTCTGGCCTTGTGTTTACATGTCCACTTTTTCTTCTTTCCTTTAAAATACTAAGCTACTAATCTAGTTGTTAGTAGAACTATACTACACGATCATCCAAGTTTGGGGGTTTTTGTTTTAGGGATGTTGGGGTTTTAATGTAGTTGTAGTATAACAATGCAAACAATATAGTTTCCTGTAGTCAGAACAGTTGTAGATAATCGTTCCCCAGTTTGCCATTTTACTGGTCCTTATGCTATTCCCTGCAAACTTATTTGCTGCTTTTGCCTCCTGATTAACTGCTAACAGACTTTTTCTAGTCATTAAACACTTTTGCCTTCTGCATTCAGTAGTAACTTCTGTCTTGCAGTCTACTGCCATTGCATTAAATCTGGTTATGTTGTTTCTTCACTGACAGCAAGAGTTTAGTGAACTCTTGCCCTGTAGTTTCATTCAGTACCCATTACTGCTGTTTTTATGTGCTGAGTAGACTTTTATGAGGGAAAGAATGAACGTTTATCAGGTTAACGCTGATTGCTTTGTAAGAATAATCTGCAGCCTTTTGCCTTTAAAACCTCAGATTAATTCCAGCTCTAATATAAATGGAAGGTAAATTATAAGTCTTAAATTTAATTTAGTCATTAGGGCCTTTCGTAATCCAAGGGATGGCCTGCAGGCAGCTATCCTTGCACTCACAGTAGCTCTTAGTCCAATAGGGTTTAGGCCTGGAAAGGGTCAAGTCTAAAATGCCCTCTCATTTAACCAGAAGATCATTCCAATCCTGTGTTGAGTAGGAAAGCCTGCGGAGCAATCTGGATAAGACAGCAGAATGAGTGCCCCAATTAAGTTTGCTGGTGTGATAACAGAAATCTAATTGAGGTTTAAGTGTGTATCTTACAGAGGTTACGGTAGTGCATCGAAGCGTAGAGACTACTGTATGTAAAGTACTGTGTTAACACCTAGAAATAGCTTTCAATACATTTTAAACAATGCTTTTTGTTTTTCTCCTTAGATCAACGTTCGAGTTGTTACTATGGATGCAGAGCTGGAGTTTGCCATCCAGCCAAACACTACAGGCAAACAGCTGTTTGACCAGGTCAGTGAAGGGTTGGTATGGGCTCGTGTTGTTTTAAGTTTGGAGTACGTTTCAGACTACAGTGTTTTCTTAAGATTGGATTCCAAACCTATCTTTCTTCTCTCTACCTCCTAATCAAAGGCCCCTGGTCTGAACTAAGATCTCTAAATTCCATCACAGTAAAAAACCCAAACAAACATACCTGCAAAGGTTTTTGCATGTTCCAGTGAAACCTGTCTTCCTAGCATGCTGGGTGGTGAAATGTCACAAGGGACGGCATAGGTAGCATGTGAAAATGCACCTCTTGCTTTGACATACAGCTTAGCTCTTACATAGTTCTTAAATTCTAAGGTTGAGATGTTGTCCCTGTGCACAAAACTCTTCAGAATCAGGTCTTCAGATGGCTGATGAAGGTGTTGGCATAGCTGCATTCATTCAGAAGCTAGGTTGAAGGTAGCTGCTTGCCAAAGGTGTTTGACTTTGTCAAACTACTGGAAAACCAGAAGAGTTTGTGATTTCCATGCAGCATTTATAGGCAACATGCCTTGTAAGAAGCCTCTGTGCAGCAGGATTGAGCAGAGACTTGCACAGCCTGCCCTCTGGGATTCCCAGGGGAGTGGAGGGCATGAGGGAGAGGCCAAGACTCTCCTCCCTTACTGTTATTCTTCCTGCTACTGCACTAACAATATACAGGTCTGTTTGAAGATGAACCTACAAAGGTCAGATAAAGACAACTAAAATAAACAACGTGCCCTTTGTAAAACTTTGTTATTATTGTCTTAAATAGCATGCTGTTACAAAACTGAAATAAGGCCTAGATTTCAGCAAAAAAAATTTTACTTACTGCTTTAGAATTAAAAAGCAATACTAGTTTCTAGCCA